AAAAAAAAAAAAAAGAGAAACAAGCAAGGATTCAGAAGAAACGCGATTGTCTTGAATTTTCGGTGAATTCACACCGCTGACGGACAGCTATTGCAGAAGCGCGATATAAAGTTTCGTTTTCCACGAGATGTCGGCGATAATTGCTTCTTTTCTCTCGTAACAATCTACGATTAATATCTAATCCTATTATGCGTACGTACCAGAAGATCTGATCACGCATTTTCTTGTTTTTTTTTCCTTTTCCTTTTTTTTTTCTTTTCATCTAGAAGAAAACTCTCTCGTTTTGGCTTTGGCAGATGAGAGATCAGCGAATCGTCTTACCGCCCGTTCTCTGTTTGCTTAATTTAATTATAACATTTACGTTGCGTGCGCTTTTTAAAGGTAAGTTAAACGATTAACGATTATGCTAGAGCCCGTCACAACAAACGATTCGACGGAGAAAACGAAATAGCCAAGACAAATACCCGCAAATTTGATTGATCTTGAGAAAAGAAATTTGAGACCACAACGATCCGCGGATATTCCTCGCGTCGGAGAGACCGATAGCAGAGAAGAAGAAAGCAAGATACATACTTCGAAAGGGAGAGAAGAGAGAGAGAGAGAGAAAGAAAAAAAAAACAAAAGACAGAGAGAAGAATAGCGTCGTTCAAATGGAATGTCTGCGTATGGAACGATCCGTTCGCTGGGTGAAGACGATTTCTCTGAGGCTCCCGTCGACCACCGTACAAAAGTTTACGTTTACATTCCTTTCTATCTTACACTTAATAGTATGTCTCGTGTTGTTAATCGGTATTAAAGGCCATTTGGAAACGCTGCGTTCCGTCAAGACACCTACACATAATTTAATAAATTTATCTATACGCAAAAAAAAAAAAATCTTATACCCTACGATTATTCGAAGGCACGAATTATACGATTCTCGACTTTCCTCTCTACGAGTCCATCTTCTCTTCTGCTTCTGCGCGATTGTATCGCGCCTCGCCAGATGATCGGATTGTGCAACGCACGTCGATTGTCCATATATTTCTTTTTCTCGTTCGTAGAAAGTATTATGCGTTGCATATTTAAATAGAATATTATATTATTACACTCTATAGTGGTCCCTTTCGAACACGCTGCCTGGCCGCAGCGTGTGACGATTCCTTTCGTGTTTTATATTGTCCTATGTACAATACTATTGTAGA